CATTGTTGCTTACAAAGCTGTGATATTTTATTTACTACTATCTGTTTTAGATATAATATAGTGCCTTGTGTCTCATAGGCCATATGGCCGGATGTTATATTTTATTGAATGTTTTTAAGTTTATGTATGTTTTATATATAACATGTGACACAAAAATAAAAATATTTTCTTCTTCTTCTTCTTCTGATAATTGGCGTACAAATGGGATGTCTAACTGACGAGAGCAAAAACATACATGGAATAAATTTGCAGGTGTTTAAAGCAGCGAACAGGCAATTGGAAACCCCCTTCTTCATCTCGGCTAAATGTGTGTTTAGCAATAATAAATCATAAATAAAAAAACCCAACTTACTTATATATACAGGATGTACAGGAGGACTGCAACAGTCACAATGGATTGACATGACAGTGACGATGAGAGCTATCGGGGTAGCTTTGTATGTTGTAGTACAATATCTTCTTATAAGTTTTCATTACTATCAATGCATCCCACTAATATATGATAACATACATGATAACAACACTCCATGTCCAGCTCGTTAAACAACACAATAACAATACAATTATTATAATAGACTCACTCAGCGGGCCCCAGCCGTTAAAACACCAAAATAATCAATCTAAACAAATAAATGAAATACTAAAAAGCACCAAGAATCTGCACGCCTCAGGTAAAAAGGTAGAGTGCAAAAGTGGCAGAACCGGCAAAATAGTGCCAATCTTACTCTGCTCAATAAATCAGAATGGTCTCAGTGTTAGCATGGCCATATTGTGTGTACTTTGCATGTTTTTTTTATGTGGAATAGCTTCATTTTTCTATTTAAATAGGGGTTTTGGGGGCGTGGGGGGTACTCCCTAAAACTTAAGTGAATTTTGAATGAAAACGGCTACAAACCTGATAATAAATAAAAAGCCGTGATTATGAAGGGAAAAGAAAAAATAATGTAGTTTGATGTAATTAGATGAGAAGAGATGAGGAATAGAACTAAACTGATAGATATAAAGTGGGGATGGTTGTGGGGGGGGGAGAGAATTGTATAGCATAGTGGGAGCTTGATTTGGAAACAGTTAAGCTGTTTATAATTAAATAATGGGCGAAGAAAGAAAAAGGGGTTAGACGGGGGTGGGGTGAGGGAGTGGTATGGGAGCATTGAAGGGGGCAAGGCAGGCTGAGCGAGTGTAGTAATTGAGAGGCAGTAGTAAGCTTGGCCTTGACTGAGGGGCTATGGGCGGCCTTGATCGTGGAGTTTGTTATGGTTGGTCCTTGAGAGGTGGCGGGGGTCGGTGGTGGCTGGAGGCGCGCGGACCTCGGAGGGGACAGTAGTTGTTGGAGGTAGAGTTGGTGTGAAATAATGAAGGAATAGAGAGGCGCGCGAGCACTACCACATTTGAACCTAACTTATAAAATTAATGTAATCATTCAAGTAAAATACATGACATCGGAAAATGCACTGTCACCATAACACTTTCATCTGCAACAGCACGCACCAGTCAGTTGTCCTAGCATATTATTTTTAACCGAATGTTCCAGCCAATGCCGTGAAGAGATTGAGTCACAGTCTTACGGCCAGCGTGTCTTATATTAGCTGCTAGAAGGAAGCCGTTTGAGTAAAAGCATTAACTGATAATCCCATGAGTTCATTAATCGGTGTGATATCGTCAAGCTGAAAGCTAGTTAAACAAACAATACAAAACATTTGAAGTAAATTTAGATAATATAATAGTAGGATACTTGTGTTTTTAAATGATGGGTAAATTTGTGCACAATCGCCAACGTATGAAGGGACCATGTAAGTCCTTCTAGGGTGGGTGGGGTGAGGGGATGGTATGGGAGCATTGAGGGGAGCAAGGCAGGCTGAGAGAGTGTAGTAACTTAGAGGCAGAAGTAAGCTTGGTTGAGTGGCCTTGACTGAGGGGCTATGGGCGGCCTTGACCGTGGAGTTTGTTATGGTTGGTCCTTGAGAGGTGGCGGGGATCGGTGGTGGCTGGAGGCGCGCGGACCTCGGAGGAGACAGTAGTTGTTCGGAGGTAGAGTTGGTGTGAAATAATGTAGGAATAGAGAGGCACGCGGACCTCTGAGAAGACAGTGGTTGGAGAGAGAGGTGAAGTTATAGATGGCTTAATAGTGAGTAGAAAGTGGATCGCGATTGCTAGGTTGAGAGATGGGCGCGGACGTCGGAGAGGACAGTCACGCACATATGGTGAATTTGGAGTGACTACATACCTATCCGTGAAACAATTAAGTAATGAAACAATAGGCGAGAGCTTTCAATACAACTAATAGCTCATGACAGGTAATTAATGACAGATGGTCGGATTGGGATGTGTTGATAGTTATAGCCGGGAAAGCCACTTTTAAGAAAACAAGAGTTGAAAATGGTTTGGCTCAACCGACAATGGGTATGGTTGAGTGCTCGTGTGAATGTGGGAAAAACGTGTATTTTGAGTAAACGTAAATATTCTCGCCAATGGGCCAACATATTTTTCGCGAGATTTTTTAATATCGTTTTAAGTTAGTCGAATTAAGTCAAAATGAGCTGAAATTTGTGTCATTATGTTTATAAACACACACTCATTCATTTATAACCTCCTAAACATGAATTCTGAGCGAAATTAAACATTCTCGCACATGGGCCAACATATTTTTCGCCCATGGGCGAGATTTTTTAATATCGCTCTAAATTAGCTGAATTGAATCAAAATGAGTTGAAATCTGTGTCATGATGCTTATAAACATACACTCATTCATTTACAACCTCCAAAACATGTATTTTGAGTAAAAGTAAATATTCTAGCCCATGGGCCGGCCCATGGGCGAGCGAGTTTAAATTTAAAGATTTCGAAAAATGGCATAAATTCATAACAACTGCATGTTTAATTTGGTCAAATCACTTGTCAGAAAGTGCCCACAGTGCAGAGAGTTTCTGGACTTTTGTGAGTCCAGAATTAAATTGTGACGTGTTAATTTGTAATATATTTATAAAGGAAAGTTAATGAATTTGTTCAGTCAGATACCCCATACAGTTGTGTAATACATTTAGGGGCCTAACGGTTCACGTCTTTGTGAATACACCTGTGTGTGTTTTATTGTAATAAGCCGTGTCTGCCTTGTATGTCATATATACTCTCCAAAAAAAGAAAGGCATCATGAAAATAGCAATTTCATGTAGCAATGAATTAAAACGTGATTCATTTTACAAAAGGTTTTGCTCTGGTTACGCACCATCCGTAAAATACCCGTATTTAACAGCATGATTTTCAATTTCGGCGTGTAGTGTCAACAACATCGTCGACGTCGAGTTCAATGGTGCACCAACGTTCAGGCCTGGAACCTACCGAATTGGCGTAGAATCTTGTTCACTGATGAATCACGATTTCTATTGGAACGACGCGATGGAAGAATGCGGTGTACAGACGTCGACGTGAACGTTTCGCCGACGCTTGCGTTCCCCAGGTGGACAGATTCGGCCGAGGAAGTGTTATGATGTGGGGAGCCGTAGGAGAAGTGATTTGGTGATGATCCAGGGCAACCTGACAGCTCAACGGTACTGTGACGAAATCCTACGCCCATACCTCCTTACAATCATTGATCGCCAGAGGGAGTTGTTTCAACAGGACAATGCCAGGCCCCACACAGCACGTCACACTAGAGACTTCCTCCAGAACCGCAACATCAATGTGCTCCCCTGGCCCTCAAGATCACCGGACTTAAACCCGATCGAACATCTGTGGGATGCCCTGGACAGGCGGGTGCGACGCCGTTACCCGCAGCCCGAGACACTTCAGCAACTCGCACAGGCACTACAGGCAGAGTAGGCTGCGATTGGGCAACACGAGATTCTGAGACTTATTCGTTCGATGCCAAGGCGATGCCGTGCAGTTCTGGATGCCCACGGTGGTCACACGAGGTATTGACTTCAGCGCCACCACACGTCTCCATGTGACACTCAAACTGACTTTCCTCGAGTTGGTGCCAAAGACGGATAAGTCTGCATTCCCGGTGTGCAATTTCGCTATATTTCATTGACTCATAAAGCCTACAAGATGTTTCAAAATAAACATAAAAATACAGTTGAAATTCCTATATGCGTTTCTGTTTTGGGAGAGTATATAAACTGTGTACCGAAGAACAGTTATCTAAAATGTACACACACACAAGCACACACAAGCACACGTACACTAAGATGCAAAGGACCAATAATATCCATCTTACACTTATTTATTACGGTTTATTGTTAAACATGCACAGAATGCTAACTTTATTTGGAGACGAAAAGGCAGTTACTAAAGAAAACAATGTCCAATGCTCATCCATAGACCCGTATATGAACCTTTTAAGCAGACACCATGTTTTATGTCAAGAAAGGCACACATGGTGATAGTGCAGCCCCATAAATTGTAGGTGCTTGGTCTTCGGTATCACTTTGCCTTGTGTTTCTAATGATCTCAGTACATTATGGCGAAGACGGACACTCTAACGAACCCAATGTGACAGTTATATATCCGAAACACTGAAATACATTTTAAATTAATGCCAATATTGTAATACTCTATTTATTCATTACCAATTATTTACGCTTGTATTAAATATATGAAAAACATAACGCTGGTCACAGGAGATTTCAAGGGTACTGAAATCCATGTGCTACCTTTACAGCATTTACGTTTGTTACACATGCTGGAAAACACATGAACATAATGGCCAGATTTACACACCTGTGAAATACATGCAGTGTTGAATTTTCGTATATTTTAACACCACTTTAAACGTGTGTAAATCTGACAGCCAGACGATATTTAGATTTCAAACGTTGTTCAAATGGCCGCCGGATGAAACGTATATTTTCTAACGTAAGTAAAGTCGGGAAATACTGCTCCTTCGTGAGGGGCTTAACTTTGTTCAAAGGAACACAAAGAAAAATAGTTCAAATAAAGTGACGAAAATGTTTGTTATGGAAAACAACATCAACATGAAATTTGGTCACTGGTCTGATCAATGTTTCATCAAAACAAATTGATAAAAGCCATACCTTGAAACATAAGACAGAGCGATATGCGTTTAGAAGGGGGTGGTGTAACAATTGAAACATAACAATGTCAAAAACCCGTTTTCCAAAGCTATACAAATGATTGCTCCAAATGAACAAGGGTTACCGGGTTGTTGTCGACAGTCGTGGGTCCATCTTATCCTGGATATGTTCTGCTGAGAGGAGGTCCGGTGGAACAGACAGCCCTGACAGTTCAGCAATGTCGTGATTCCTCATGAAGCATTACGTGAGTATATGAACTATATGAAATTGTGACATTGAATGAAATCACTGCCTTTGCATTTGCCAAAATTTATAATAGCAGTGTAAAACAGGGATAGATCGGAATATTAAGTACACTTGACAATGGCTGGGGAAATGTCGTGGACGGACTGCAGGAACTTCCATCGTCATATGCGATGTCAAAAGCCGATGTTTCAGTCACCTACGTGATACTGTAATGTCGGCAAACGTGTCTCATTCTTTAGGCGGCGAGGCTAAAACGTTTTTCTATCCACCAGTTATACACTGTTTTGAAACTTTTCACTCAGTCGACATCGGTTCGTGGTTGGGACGAGAAGCTGTTTTCAAGATAGTTTACATATTTTACCAAGATTTTAAAGAGCATCATACCAATCTTGCTCAGAAGTTGTTCGATCAAGGTTACAACATTCAAGGCCTCAGTAAAACTTTTAAGTGTTATGATGGAAATGTGGAAGACACTTCAAAATTTGATGCATGAGTGACAAAAATTATGTCCGATGCAATTTGATTTGTACCATACGTTCCCGAAATATTTCAGGTGAACATCTGACTAGACTTAGCACAGATTTGTCGCCAGTAGGGCTCCTGGTACCCTCACTATTGTATAGTGATTGATAAACACATGCTCCGTCGTCGTATCGCATGGTGACAATCACTGGATTGTCTGGCCCAAACTCGATTGTATAAGAACAACATCGTACAGCTGTAATACACTCATGATATAGGCAAAATTGTACAATCGACTCTGCGTTTAGCTGACATGTCTTATGAACGTGGAAAGGGGTTTTGCCGCTTCTGTCTATTGATCATGTACATTGTGCGTGTACAGCAGTCATTACTAGGCATCATGTCAACAGGTGGAGATCGCTTGAGCACGTTTTATCTGTTCACTCGATAAGTTTCCAGTCAGTGTGGCAGAAACTGCGACGTAATCTTCTGGTTTTGAAGTAAACGTGTGGCAGCCTTTCATATATTGACACATACTTAGTTTAAACGTTTACACACATGGGTGTTAGTGAGGAGTGGAAGCAATCTTCACTGTCTCTTCAAGTTGCCATTGTTCTTATTTACCGCCAGTTGTTGTGTAGACAGCAAAATGTCATCTGCAGATGAAATGTACGTATCATTTGGAAGAGTATGAGCAAATATATAAATATGATCAGCAGCTTCATATATTTCTAAATGCTGTTCATTGAATGACTCAGGTTTAAATACCCTTTTAAATGACCATGTTTAGATTCATCCTATATTTCATATACTGCCCTAAATGTTCGGTTTAAAGGCACTATTTTACACTTTTCGACAATATTTTGGCCTATATTATACAGACCCGTGAAGATCCGGGGTAGAATAGGTCTTCAGCAACCCATGTGCTTGCCATAAAACGGCGACTATCTTGTCGTAAGAGGCGACTAACGGGATCGGGTGGTCAGTTTCGCTGACTTGGTTGACACATGTCATCGGTTCCCAATTGCGCAGATCGATGCTCATGCTGTTGATCACTGGATTGTCTGGTCCAGACTCGATTATTTACAGACCGCCGCCATATAGCTGGAATATTGCTGAGTGCGGCGTAAAACTAAACTCACTCACTCACTCACTATATTATACATGTTGTGACATATGCACTCACTGTAGCTTCCTATTGATGCAATAAAGACTTACTATCCTTTACGACTTTCCTGAAATCTATAACTGAAACTTCGAGGCGAACATTTTCCAAACAGAGAACAATTGCAATATATGGTATGTCAACGATTGCTCCGTACATCGCAAACTGTCGCACGCGGTGTTGTCGGTGTTTGCCCAACTGGTTTCAATCACAAGTTAGTTATAGGATATTCGTAAAGAGCGCTCCAAGGGGACATAACTCCATGGGGTTCGCTTGAAATAATGTTCAGCCGGTAGAGGCAGCGAGAGTCGATTTAATGCAACGTTGCATTAGTTCATTCGAACTTTTTAATTTAATAATGTAATATAAATACGTAATTGTTTTTGGAGTAAATTATATTGTAGCCTCCCTGTGGGCTGATAGTTAGTATTATTGAAAGAAATGTATTATTTACTTTTAGAGAAGTGTGGCGTGAAAGAGTGGTTTTAAGGTCAATTAGGAGATAAACCTACTGTGTGGGAAAATCAAAGGTATATAACGAAATTATAATAGCTCTAAATTTCATTTAAAACCGAACGCGTAGCGTGAGGTTTTAAATTAACAATTTAGAGCTATTATAATTTCGTTATATACCTCTGATTTTCCAACACAGTAGGTTTATCTCCATTCTACCATGACAATTTTATGAACAGTTTCAGGTGGAGCTCTTTCTTTGGTTACGAGTCAATACGTGAAGCGGCCTGGCATTCCAATCTCAAGTGGCATCGCCCGAAACGGGGTGTTTGCTGGCAAACCGTCAATGGCTAACAAACTCCAGATTCAGTAATAACAAATCACGTTTTGTTTTTTCAATGCATCAATCACCAATCATTAACTGATAAGTTGGAAAACATATATCAAATAAGTTTAAAAAGCTTGGTTCACATTTGAAAATTCCACCGTAGACCCTTACCCCACTAGAATAATGGCAGCAACCTCATGGCCTTGACCTTTTCTCGGAAGTCATTGTTTACATTTACGTGCAAATTTGGAAAGATGCGACAGGAGAGCCTCTGACAGTTTGCGCAAGGTTAACCTGATTGTATGACTGAGATAGTCTTTGATATCTAATTACTGGTACTGGTACAAAATTTAAGAGTAGAGGCGCTTTGGCTGTAACGAGAAGTCCGTGTTGTACCGAATTTAGATACTGTTGAATTTTGCGCCCTGTCAACTTCACGATTTCACGCACCTCTACGTCTGCGTGCGACAGCTGTGGTGACTCTTACACACTCATGTGTGTACTTTGTGCTCAAATTCGATTCAACGGATATTATTTTCTACATTTTGGAAAGTGTTTTGTGACCTAGTGGTTTCAAAGTGTAGTGAATTCAAATTGAATCGGATTCGCTGGCATGTTCGCGAGTCTGTTGACAAAGAGCCAGATTTGTGGTGATATTTCCGAAAAAAGGATGGATCAAGACATGAGGGTGTACCTCTGGCATAAACACGGTAAGGTAATTAATTATACTTTAATAGACTACTTTAGATCAAGCAGTGTAATGGATAAGAGGGATCATGACTAAGCTAAATAACTTTTTCAACGATATTATACTTTTAGAAAAAGAATATGTTGGGCTAAACAGAACGGTTTGCAGATTCTGTAATTGTGTTTTACTACCGCTAAATTTGAAACAGTACAAATTTCAAAATATCATTTGTTTGAATTGATAACCCAACTGTTTATTTATGTGGACGGAAGGCATTAAAATTTCTTCGGCGTTCGATGTTAATGCATCCTCCTTTACCGGATCAAGATCAGTGGCGATATTGTTGACGAAAGCTGATAATAAATTTAACACGGAAATTATGTAGCAGTCTATTGCTGGATCTATTCTGACATAACATAGAATCAACGTAAACATATTTTTTTTGCTGAATTTTTATTCGGAAAGCAGACGATGTTTTGATCTTGTTCGACTGAATATTTGTTTCCATGCTTTCGAAGTACTTTTGTATGTATAAACACCTATTGCTGTGATTTACGCAAGTAGTGAGTCGAGCCCGTCATCGCTAAATCCATCTTTAAAGACATGTGTAATTTCCGACAGTAAAATCGCCGTAATTTATCGATGCATCGGTAGGTTGTTTGGTGTCCGCCATGTTGGTGAGCAGACAAAAATAGTGCATTACCGTAAACCATGTATGATTGCGCACGGAAAACAGAGACCTGTATAACGTGATTATATACCTCTGAATGACTTTAATTAACCAATCACAATTCAGTGTTTACTGAAGTCATGGTAGAATGGGTTATAACCATACTGACCGATATTAACTTGTATTTCAATGGTTCAGGACCCATGAAGATCCGGGTTAGAATATTGATCTTCAGTAGCCCATGCTTGTAGTAAGAGGCGACTAACGGGATCGGGTGGTCAGGCTCGCTGACTTGGTTGACACATGTCATCGCATCCCACTTGTGCAGGTCGATGCTCATGCTGTTTATCACTGGTTGTCTGGTCCAGACTGGATTATGTTCAGACCGGCGCCATATAGCTGGAAAATTGCTGTGTGCGGCGTAAAACTAAACGCACTCACTCACTCAGTGGTTCAGGAATATAACTGCATTATATTACGAGCCACGTCCTGTCTCGTGCAGCATCCATGGCAGTAATACAAAAGTGGTAACATATGGCGGAGATAATCATTTCCACACAGTTTCATGTGTAAGCTGAATATTTCATCTGTGCTTGGATTTGAGCTGAAAATCAGGTTTTAACCAAGCAAAGGCACACATATCTATGTATTTGATATGAAATAGCGATATTACTATTTCATATGAAATAGCGATATAAGTATTTGATTTGACTAACGAATAATAAACGTGTATGACACGTTCCCCAAAACGTTTATGTCCATGAGGAATATTATATCTGGAAGCATTTCTTAAATAATCGAATGACTGTAGAGTTGCATTATGTTTCATTATATCAACATAGAAATAATTCCAAGCCCCGACATCCGCCACGCCCATAATACCATAGTTAATTCCAATGAAAATTCAGGGTTTTCATGTAAACTTAAGGCGGACAAATACATCTATTTTTGTGTTTGGGAATTGAATAGGTCCCTATGAAGAATACAGTAAGATGCAAGCGTGCTTATGTTAAGTGATGTTATGACACAATTTCTACGCGTGCAAACTTCCCTCCTCAAATTTAATTGAATATTTTAACATATTGTGGTTTTCTTTCGGTGATTTTCTCGAGTTTCTACAAAAGATTTTTCTGATATTTAAAAACCTCAAATCCACACTTGTATGGTGATATCCGGTTGAACTGTGCATGTATTCTTAAACTAAGGATAGTTCGCATTATAAGTATATGTGT